ACAGTTCAAAACTACCAGTTGTTCTGCGGGAGAAAGATGAGGCATTCTGCTCCCGTAAAGATTTACAGCCTCAGAAACCCTGTACAGGGTCGCTGTGTGTCAGAACCGACTCCACGGCACACAGCCACCACCACCATCTATCTTGTTTGATTGCTCCTGTAGCACTTTCCTGACTTCTTCCTTATTTTCCTCTACCCCTTCTCAGAGCATTTGAATTTGTTTCCATGTCATTCTTCTGAATTCCTTCTCAGGCAGATCCATAGCCTGCTCTTCTTCTGCTGGAAAGTCTGTGTCTGCCTCCAGCTCATTTGTCTCAGTTACTCTTCTCTGGTTTTGGACATATTTTGAGATCTTTTGTTGTGTTTTCTTGGACATTTTCAGTAGTTAGGTGGGTTTTTAATGCTTAAATGCATGTATGTTGCTGTGTTGTTAAGCTTACTGAGTGTCTCTTGCTGGATATGATCTGTAGATAGGTTTCCCTTTTCACGTTTAATGTTTAGTAGCTGGTATTGGCTCCTGTCCCAATGGTGGGATATTATGGGGTATGCTTGTAACTTGGTTATATGGCCATGATTGCCGTTTCTTCTTGGGTAACATAGGGAAAAAAAGTTCCTATCCCCAGGAAAAAAGTGTGACCTAAAGAACCAAAAGCAGAAGCAATATAAAAGCAGAGACAAAAACCACCTCTCAAAAACAAAAATAAAACCGTAGTCAACTGACCAGTAGCCTTTGCTGCACAGGTCAGTGTGTGTGCACAGTAGAAACCTCCAGCAGTGGGTGGGGATGTCCACTCACTTAGACCCCTCCTCACTCAACACTGTGGAGGTACACAGATAGATATTGAGACATTAATAGGAGAAAGATTGTCCACTATTTTTATCTCTGAAGGTCAGTTAGGTATCTGCATGTGCAGAGTGTAATTCTTGAAATAGCTGTGTCTGTGTGTAGTAGTTGATGTTGGCTCTTACCTTTTGTGTTGGGGTTTTACAGAGTGTTCATATGGTTTGTCTGTATGTCCAGGCCTGCTTTTTCTTGCTGGGTAGACAGAAGTAAAGGTTCCCACACAGGTCAACTTTAGGGCTGGGTCCCAGAGTCAGACATCATAAGCAGCCGCCAAAGGATCAGCTTGTGGGACCAATGGGGCTCCTCCTCTCTGTGCCATGGAAAAACTGTGGGCTCAATGCTGGACCCTTTTGGGGGTGTACACCCACCTGCCTGAAGGTGTCTGGGCTAGGCAGAGAGGGTATGACAGGGAAGAGGAGAAAAAAATGTGTAGAATCCCTCACACCTCTTTTTTCAAATGTTGCTGCATGGGTTTTCAGCACCGTATCACTGTGTCTGTCTGGCTGTGGCCTTGTGCTTTGAACTGAGCCCATGTGGGAGTGGCCTCAGGGAGAGTCCCATGTCCCAGTCAATTCTGAAATCACAGTATTTTCCTTTATACAGTGATTTTTCCACAGGTGGGTGCAGGAAAATGATGCCCTGCACCTTATACTAGATCCAGAACTCTGCATCTGCTCCGTGAAAGCACCTTCTCTGGGTTTTCCACACCTCCCCCACAGATCCTGTCCTACCTGACTGCTTCTCCTGCCTCCAAACCCAATGTCAAGATTGGCATATAAAAGAAACAGTGACTCCTGTAAGGAATTTGCTCCTTAGAACAATTAACTATAGGAGACTAAACTTGCCCAGAAGCAAAGCAGAAATGGCAAGAAGGGCAGGGAAACTGAAGGAATGTAATAGGCAAGGCAGGAATGAAATGGGGAGAGCGTTAACATTGTAGGGAGAGCACCCAGTGTCACAGAGCCATTTGTATATTGTTGACTGAGAACCCAATTTGCTTTGTAATCTTTCACCTAAAGCACAATAAAATATTGGGAGTTAGGGTGGGAGAAGATTAGTGACCAACTGGCAAGACTGGTCAGCTGAAACCCTATGGTTACAGAGTTCCACACTGAAACACATGGGTGCTCGGTGAGCCAGAACCAACTCTTACTGATAAGTCCCAACGATTTAGTTCCAATCATAGTGACCCTGTATAGTGTTTCTGAGGAGTGGCTGATGAGTTTAAACTACTGACCTTGTGGTTCAAACCAACCTTATGGTCGATTGCTTATCCTACAGCGCCACACTAGAATCAATTTTGGCAACTGTTTTTTGAGGAGTTTGGGGTTTTGGTTTACGCTGATACCCTGGTGTGGTGCTATAGGATAAAGCACTGGACCACAAGGTTGGTTTTGAACCACAAGGTTGGTGGTTCAAACTCACCAGCCACTCCTCAGAAACCTTATACAGGGCTGCTATGGGTCTGAACTGATTCAACAGCACTTAACAATAACAATATATCGAACTATCAGAAGGAAGTGAACATTGTGCTCACTGGAAAACTTTTAAATGACTCATAAAAGTGGCTTGCTCTAGTGATGATGAAAATACTGTTATTGAAATGTCTTCAGGAGGTGTTAGGATAAAAATTGTTCCCTGAATTGTGAGAAATAAGGAAAAGGCACTTTCTAAATTATCAAGATTCTTTGATTTTAGCTGTAATCCTAAAAGTTTATACTCTATTTATTTTTAAATCCTTGTGTAGTCTTTCTTTTTGGAAAAATTACACACCACTTTATATTTGAGCATATGATCTTCATAATTACTAACAATTTACATTTAAAAATGTCTAATATGAAATATATTTGTATTTCCTCCCTAGGCCTGGAAAGATTGTGAACTGCTTATACCAAAATCCTAAAGCAATTTTTAGACTAATTTGCTTTCCCTGGGCAGGAGGTGGCTCCATTCATTTTGCCAAATGGGGTCAAACGATTCATGATTCAATGGAAGGTATGTTAATTTTCATATCCATCTAAGTAATCCATGAAGTCAGATGATATGCACCTATAGCAATTTGAAGTATGGTGATAATTTATCATATTAGCATTCAGAACTGTTCTTCAATAGGAGAATTTTTCTATTTCTAAAGAAAGAAATATGTTACCTTGATTTTGTTACTGTTTTTGAGTCCTTTCAGAAGATGGTATTCCAACCTTTGATGTATATTTAATGTAATTAGTAACACGGGTGAGTTGAAGCCTACCATCTTGAAATTTGTTTTCAAATTGTTCTGTCTGTTATTTAATTCATGTTTTTCTCTTAGGATTGAAGTATTTTTTTTAAATGTTCTGTGTATCTCCTCTACTGCTGCATTAGCTATTGCTCTTTGTTTCATTGTTTTAATGGTTGTTCTTTTCTTAGTCTACCTTCCAATAATTCTATTATGTTATCTGATATTTCTCTATTATTTCTGTTTATCCTGGTGGCACAGTGGGTTGTAGCATTCAGAAGCTAAGCTTGGGGTGTGGTGCTGTGGGTTAATGTGCCAGACTGCAAAGCCATTTGAATTGCAAGGTTGGCGGTTCAAGCTTACCAGCAGCTTCTTAGAAACCCTATACAGGGTTGCTATGGGTCAGAACTGACTCAACAGCACTTAATAACAAGAACAGACACTCCATGGGAGAAAGCTGAGTAAGCCTGCTCCTATAAAGACTTACAGCCTCAGAAAACTCATCCTATAGGGTCGCTAGCAGTCAGAATGGACTCAGTGGCAATGGGGTTTGGAGTCCATTAGCATTCGCCATACAGTTTACTTCTTCTTCCATTTTCTTCTTCTTTTTTTATTTTTTTGCTTACAATAATCAATTATCTTTTTAAAGATGAGAAAAATATTTTATATTTACACACATTTTTATTATTTTTGGCACTCTTTCTTTTATTTCGATATCTGAGTCTCTGTCTGGAATCACTTTCCTTCCACCTAACAGAAACTTTTTGTATAGCACATGTATGCGTTCAACAAATTCCACTGTTGTTGTTAAGTACCATCGAGTCTGTACTGGCTAATAGTGATGTTATGCATAGCAGAATGAAACAGTGCCTGATCCTAGGCCAACCTCATTATTGTTGCCACGCTTGAGTCCATCGATGTTGCCACTTGGCTAATCCATCTTGTTGGGGGTCTTCCTCTTTTCCTCTGACCCTCCACCTTACCAAACATGATATACTTCTCCAGC